AAAATCACATAAAAAAGTAATCTTTTACGGTACCAAATTAAACCAACAGATAATTAAATTAGTTTTAACAGTGTCTCATCAACACATTTATTGTACATTTAGATGTATTTAATTGGTGATTGTGAAAGAATTTGCAACATTAGTTAATTGGTCATTTTAGTAATATGATTTGAGTGATTATAAAGATGTTATTTAATTGTCTCCCTTTTTCTTCTGTAGTTTGGAGCGTGTGTAGCAGGTGGACAGATCTCTCTTTGGTTTATGCCTCCACTAGCTGAGTCATTGTGTTAACTGATTACCTTCCAAAAGGAACACCTTAAAAACGCACCGCTGCGGGCCGTGCCCATTGATCCTGCTTTTCCATGACGTGCATCCGTCTCTGCTACGTCTTCCTCTCTCTCTCACACACACGCAGACGCACACACACACACACACACACACACACACACACACACGCACACCCACACACACACACACACACACACACACACAAGCACACGCGCACACACTACTACTTATTGGAATTCAGAGTGGGGCCCAGGTAGGGGAAGCAATGCCCATATTTGTACAATGGAGGAAACACACCAGGTGTATGTGGTTAGTTCACCGTTGGAAGCAGCATTTTCCCAGTAACACAAAGAGCGCGCACAATGCAGAGAATTCACCCGCTGTCACAACCCAAACTACATTTAGTTGTGTGACGCTGCAGCTATGTCGCTTATGTGAGCTCTTAACTTCACAATCTGCCGGTGAATGACAGGCTTGTGTTTCTGTATAAACAATGACTAGTCATGCGAAAAAGAAAGTAGGGAAAAGAATGAGTCAAGAGATAGTTGAGATAGTTTCGCCGTGGCTTAAACCACTTTAAGTTACATAACTCCAATGTCTGGATATATAACTTTACAAAGACCCAAAGAATTTGAATACTATGAATCACGCTAATGGTTTAAGATTTCCACAGTTAAATGAATCATCAGTGTAAGCCCCCTTTATTTGAGTCCTGACAGGAGTGACTCAGTGGTAACTGTGACGAACTTTTAGCACGGACTCTGCTTGTGAAGCGCCGACTGTTCGCACTTTATAACAAGTCAAATAACAAATAATAACCGACGAAGAAACTTTCCTATAGTTCATAGAGTGAAATGCACTTGTTAGAATAATGATACCCCCAAAATGATCTATCAAGTGGTTTTAACTCCTCAAAACCTTTTGATTATAACACTTTTCATTGGTTATTTCCTAAAACTCCTTTTACAATCATTTTGTTTTGTAATGCATTGTAACTATATACTTCATATGCAAGATCCCACCTTATGTTCTTATATATTGTGTGAGAAAACAATACCATTTGTGCCAATTCAATAATTTGCATATTGACAATTATCTCAGGATGCAACCAAATCTGGATTAAAAAATGTAATATAGTCAATATTTGACCAGTACACCAGTGGCTGCATATTCTTGTATTGTCTGGCTGTGCGAGGACAGCCTGCTTCTTGCCAAGTGGGACAGGGCACGGTTCACTCTGTCGGCAGTGTGATAAAAGAGGGGGCAGACTCCACACTAATCTCTGCTCGGGAATGCAATCTACACATCTAGATACCTGCCACGCATCTCCCCGCCAATCTCAACCCTTTCTCGCACTCGCGCTGGAAGTGTTGCACAGATAAGCGCCCAAGAATCCCAGCGCACCACACACACCTTGCTCTGCTAAAGGGCAAAGAAGTCGAGAAGAAGCAAACATTATGTGGGCAGAGTTCTCCAGGTGAAAGGAAGTGTGAAACCAGTTTTTGGTGCCGACAGCATCAGTCTGACTTAATACTATCTATGACAAACTAAAACCTATTTATTATTCCTTAAAAAAAACCTTATCTATCCAACTATTGGAATTGATTTATCAGTCTGTCAATCCAGATCATATTTTGTAATGTACTTATAATACACAATTTTACACAAAATACATGTTCAAATCTGCAACCTGCAACTAAAATTACAACTTGTGGTATGTACTTAATGTGTTCTATAATTAAATAAACTCAAGTGGACTTCACAACATTTGTTTTTACTCAAGATTAAGGAACGAATTAACTTAGTCTATTATATCATCTACTCACTGTCTTTCACTGTTATTACCTTTTCTTTGATCCGATAAATGCTAGATTATACTTATGAAGAAAGATAATTAGTCCCGTTTGAGTTGTGAAAGAAGAGTTGTTATGCATAGGTCTGGGGACAAGCCCTCACATTACACTGTGTGTAGGAGTAATGGGGCTGGCGAGAGTGCCGTCTTAGTCACAGACAGTGGGAGATCATTTAAAGCACAACAGCTGGGCTCGGAGCCACCACATTTTCAAAGCCAAAGTTTAAAACACACAGCCCAGTCTTCAGCGTGTGACTAAGGCCCTGTAGACAAACACATGTAACCCAGTTCTGATTCACCCATTCATCAAAGCTATTACGCCGCTTAAGAGACAGCAGTCACACCAAGTCAATCTAAACATGAACTCCTCAGTCGTCATGAGGCTTCAGCCAATCAGACGAGCCATTGCCCTAACCATTCATAAAGAAGCCACACTGAGCTGTCCGGCCTGTATGATACACTATATCCCACACTTCATTCATGCCCTGCGCTGCTTGGGGGGAGGAGTGGACAACTGTGTTGGATGAATTGTAGCCCACAGAGGAAGTTGTGCTGCCCGCCAAAAAAAAACCATTACCACAGCTACTATGTTTATCCGCCTGCTGCTCTTCACGTCATAGTCTTCATGTATACAGTTACACTCAAAGGATAGTACATGCCTCACATTGTACTTGCACTACAGCCATGGCCATAGTAAGTCACATCAACAGCCAGACTGGGCCACACTAGTTGACTATGTAACAATGAATCAGCTCTTTTGTAATGTGATCATAGTGAGGTAACATAGACACCAGCCGGAGTCACCACTAAAGCCTGTAGAAACTCTAAAATGACAAACTTTCACATAACCTTTTTCAACCATCTACTCTAAAAAGCCAGCTAGCCTGTCTTAGTATGCTGCTCAGGTTATTTAAAAGTCTGGGAGCACTTTCTCAACCTTAACTTGGAACATATGATATCCATCAACAGCAGTAGTCAAACTTTCTGTAAGCCTTTCTCATACTTTCCCATTTTTTGCGTGTTTTTTTCACTTACCCATCTGGGTGAGCGCAGTGCTGTCTGAGGAGTAGGGGAAATCCCCCCCAAAGTTGCCTTCATAGAGACTCCGTTCTGTTGCTCGGCCCCTTCTTCAGAATGTGGTCCTTTATCTTCAAAAGCCTAAATCTTTTCCCACACATTGTCCATGGCTGTATGAGAGAAGTCAACTCGCCGTAGTCCGACTCCTAAAAGATTTCATCCTTACAAGTCGCTTCATCTCTTTGCCTGGTCTTTCCTCCTCCCGCATTCTTAGGAGTGTAATCAGTAACAGGCTTAAAGTGACAGGACTCTCTCTCTCTCTGCCTAACACACACATGCACAGTCTCCCTCTGGGCTAAAGGTGATTTCCCAGAGCTCCGGAGACACCACAGCCGTTAACTATCCAGATAAGCCCAACGTTACGCTTCAACATGTTCACAAGCCTTGTCCTTTCACCTTTTTTTTTTTCAAACCCTACACATTAAACAGCTCTGAGACGCACACACTGCCGGGCATAGTCTCACATAAGTTAGAACAGCTCTCTCTTATAGCATAGCAGTTAAAGAGGGGGCCGAGCCTATTGCTGTGGAGGCTGGCTCCTGTTACAGAGCTCTCAATCGAGGTTAGAGAGAGGACATCCATTCAGAAAAAAGCAAGAAGGAAGGAGAAGAGAGGGGGGAGGAGAAATTAAAGGGCAGTCGCCGTGGGTCTAAATATGTGTATGTGTGTGTGGTGGGGGTCTTCAAAAGCAGGAAACCTCCCCTGGCCCAAAGCTCAGAGGGCGTCTGTGGAAATTGCCTGCCACTATAGGAGGAAAAGGAGGTTGGGACCCCTCCATACCCCCCATCCTGTCCCAACTGGATCTTACACACAGTGATAAGAAAAATAAGAAAATATGCAAGTGATCTACATGAGATGATTGAATTACAGCTGGCAAAATGCGCAGTATTGAGAAGCCCATTAACAGAAGTCCATGGGGGATACGCTAAATTGGTCACAATAATACGCGTTCAAATCACCAATACACCTGTTCACCATTATCACTCATTACACCTCAGACGCTCAGCAGTTTCATTTTTCAAAGAGCTTGGGTGGCATGGGAACTAAAACAGCTACTACAACTTTGAGTCAGAGGAGAGGGGGCAGTATGTGGTTGAAGTATTGAACTTATTTTTGATCACGATTGGATTTTGTAAGGTTGGGAGCTTTATTCTGTGCCAGTAGTGGACAAAGATTTGGTGCCTTTTTTGTATGAATCCCTATATTTAAGTTAATAAACTCAAATGATTATGCGGTAACAATAATGGATTTTTGCCTGTAACGAGATAATCCTAACTAATCATTTATTGAATTAGTTGTCAACTCAAGGGTAAGATGTTACCCAGAGGCTTCACTTGAGCTTTGGTTTTGTCAAAAAACCCTTGGGATCCAGACAACAATGATAGAAAGAATAATCGGCCAACTAATTGATTGTCACAATAATTTGCTGTTGTTAGTCAAACCACCGCAAATATGTAGTTGAGTGGCCAAACAGCCAAGCATTCTTTTTCTATTAGAAGAACCTTAACTTCCCCCTTCAGCATGTGTGAAAGTTTGTGACTAAAATCACATTCGTAAATAGCATTCAGACTTTTCAACAAAAAACCCCAAGTAAGCACAAAACAAGGACGAAAAATATGTTTGTTGCATTGTCAAACAGAAAACAATATAAAATGTGCGCGCCGGTGGCCGATGGCACGTCTACAAAGAGGCCAAATATAGAATTTTAAATGGGACAGAGGTCACCACCACCTGTTGTCCCGCAGCTCAGGATGACGCGACCACAAACGCCCTTGGCTCCGGGTCACCACCCCAGTTTGCCTTTAGCCGGCGGGAACGTGCCAGTCGCTGCCAACCACACCCCCAAATCTTGACTTCTCCCTCTGCCCTGCCCCGGGCCGACGAAGGGCAGGATCTTGAGCTGGTCTGGGTCCAAATGGGAGACTTCTGGATTTGCATTGCAGGTTGGTTAGTCACTCGGAGTTCTAGTGAGTCACCAAAAGGCCATGCTGCGCCCATGCTTCGCTCCCGTTCAGTGTGCGGTGTACAAACATGTCACACACTCGTTTGCGTGGAAACCTGAGAGACGTCTTTGTCAAGCCTCATTCAGAGACTATTTAAGTAACTGGTGAGTCACTGGAGAAGTTAAACAGCGTTTGACCTATATGCAGCTGTAGTGGCGTGGACACTACAGCTTATATTGAACAGCCTTCCCAAAAATGTGAGACAAGCATCAATAGTAAAATTCATGTTAAAAAAATGTCTTGAGAGATTATATCTGCACTCTGCTTTTGAGATTATTTTGACTGTTATCACCTCTACAAGGGGGTACTGTAATCACCTGGGTTTGTTTGTCAGTCCTTTTGTTAGTTTACACCATAACTTTAAAGCGGCGCTTATTAGCACTATGGTTTTAATAGTTGGTATGATTTTAATATTTCCTTACAGATTTTTATGCAGATAAACTTGCCACAGAACATGAGTAGACTTCTGGTCGGCATAAATGTTTTGTCGTTCACAGTTGCCACTTTTAAATGTACAAAAGTGGCACCTTGTGTGCAGCGCCCCCTGTCTGTTTGTGGGGGCACAGCGTGTGGTTGAGTCTTGCAGGTGTGGCGGCGGGCGGGTTCTCTGTGGTTCTCAGTGAGTTCAGGGAGCTGATCGCTGGAGAACTCTGGGTCGGAGTTCAAACCTCAACACAAATAGATGGTTTGAACTCTAGGCTGTGGTACATCACTTTTTTCTTAAACATTTGTTGATTGTGTTTTTTTTTGCCTGCAGAAAGTGTAAGACGGAACTTTAAGACAACAGTTAGAAAGCGACACATTGTCCTCATATTTTGATTTTCTGTTGTATAATTGAAGTATATGTAGCCCTTTGAAGCCCGTTACAACACGCATTTTTACTCACTTTTCCCGGCTAAACCCTGGCCGTCCTTACACACAGCCTTTACTAACAGCCTTTTTCCGATCCGGAGGTGATCCTTAAGATGATACTTCCAGGGCTCTGGTGTTAACGCAAAAATCCTGTTTGTGCAGAGTATTCTCCGGGTAGAGCTGCCTGTGGTGCCACACTACAACTCCATGTGCTTTTGTTTTCCTCATTTACAAAAGGTGTGCATAAGGTCAAGAACACTCAACTGGATGAATAAAAAATAAAGGGCTAGGGAGCAGATTTACATATTTACTCAGGGCTATTTTGTTGTTATGGCCATCATTGACAGCGCTATCTGGAACAAGAGCTTCCCGAGAGTCCCCTCAAAAATGTAAACACAATTTTGTTTTCATATGAACACAATCTTATGGCAAATGTTATCTTGGTAGTTGGTGGGGTGAGATATCATTATGTAGCAATGTAATAATCAAAACTATTCATATTTCAGGGCAAAACAATCCACATTCATAACTGACTGCAGTTCCTAAGACTGAAGTTTCACATTTCCTTCAAGAGTAGTTTTAGCCTGTGACTCAATCTATTGTGGGCACTGTTGCCTGCTCTCTCTGGGTGGATACAAGGGCGGAGATGCTTTCACCACACAAGGCACACAGGCGGGGGCCCACACACACCCACACACCCTCGCGCACATATGTACACACATCACAATGGAGGTCGCTCAGGAAAGGAAACTAGGGATTCCTAAGATTCCTGTGGACAAAAAGGTGTGAACTGAGGCAGCCGAACAGCCTGGGAATGGGAGCGGATTGGCTGCAGGAGGCAGTTTAAAGGCTGACCAAAGTGCCTAATGACACACACACACAGAGATAAAGAGCTTGTGGAGATAAGTCAAGGAATGCAGAGGACTGAGTTTAAGATACAATAAGAATAGTGAAGAATGTGAAATGCTTTTGTGAGTTATTCAGAAACCAAGACCCGACCATTAACTAGCACTTGAGTGAGTTTAAATAAACAGGCTGCGTCGCTAACTGTCTGTCCAGGTAAATGCGGCCCGACTGGAAGAAACAGAGGCCAACCGAGTCTGCAGAAAGTTACCATGCGGTTGCCAAGTCACATTTTTAGAATGTCAAATGAAATGTAAATGTTGCATCACTCGTTTCACTCAAATGAACAAGCTGTCAATCTGAACGCAAAAATGTCATCATAGGATGTTTGTCATGGGAACGGAACAAGATAATATCATAATTATTTTACACAATCATTTCAGCTTGCTCTGTCAGTTGTCAAAACCATACATGGAATGATTTGTGTAAACTTTTGGTATTTGTGCATTTTTCCTGTAAAGGTTTGAATGGACAATCCTACAGTATTGCTTTTTTCATAATGTAATTAATGCACTAACTGGGCTGTTATTAACGATTATTTTGACAATAGAAGATAACACACTGAGTTTTTTGATTAAAAAGGCTTTGAAAAACACATTTTAATTTTCAATCTGCAGTCATTATAGAATTATCTGAGTCATAAAACCTCAGCACTTTTAAGTCTATGTAACAATTACTAATTCACACAATTAGTTGACAACCATTTCATAGTTGAATAGTTATGATTACCGGTAATGAAATCGGTAACTTCTTACAGCCCAAGCTCCAACATTGTCGGCCTGTCTGTGAATGATTTCATTGCGTACACTTTGACACAGATCCACTTAACATTGCCAGATTCTGAACCGGGGCCAGTGATGGACAAGAACAGACGTAACTACAACGTCACTCCATTCACTAAAACTGACACACGCGCACACAGGAGACACACACACGCACACACAGGACACACACACATTCCCTTCCTCAAGTGGGACGGGGGAGTGCATGGGGCGAGGAGGGTCCCTTGACCATATTACTATGTCCTGCTGCAGGCTCGTCTGCCTGACTTGGCTTCATAGAGGTCTTTTTGTGTGTGTTGGTGACGATATTAGGCTGTGGGGAGAGTGTGTGTTCGAGAAGTCACGGTCACGCTGCAGAGGCATGACTGCGCTGCCCTACTACTAGATACGGCCGGCACACAGACGCGTGTGGCTGCTATTGGACCACAAGACAGATTTCAGTTTATTTGGTCAGCCAAGATGTTTTTTGTGAGATAAAGTGAAATTATTAATGTTTTTTTGTGTTAGATATGTTTGAGGAAAGAAGTTTTTTTTTGCAAGAACAATTTTTCCATTTTTTCCATAATTGTGTTTATTTTAAGTAAAGTGTATAGGCAGCATTATTTTTATAATTGCATTTCAGTTCATGATTAGTTTTCTGGGGGCAGGGCTTTACTTTGGCACTATTCAACGTAAAAATCCATCAAGGCCAATGGTTTACGAATTAAACTATGTACATTCTATTGTGTTTTGAGATTAAGAACAGTGAGTTCTTTACCAGACGGGGATCTGCACAAGCCATTTCCTGGTCATGTGCTTTTGCTACTTCAATTATTCCATGTAAACAGAATAATTGAGGAATGAAAAAGCATGGAAATTTCATTGTTTTGTTTGTAAAAATAAATGCAATATCGACTTTTCAATAACCTTGATACTTATCATTGGTTACTTTTATTGCAAAATTTGAGAGAATTGGTGTAAAATAATGAAGTTTTAGCTTAAATATAACTAAAGATTACTTGTATTGCAGTATATTTCCATAACACATGCTTTTTAATGAAATGGATGATTTAAAAACCTACTTTTTGGTAGAGGCACCAGTGGCAGCAGTTTAGACAGTATTGTTTTTCACAATCATTTTATAAATCAATATATCGTCCATCTGAGTGAGTTATTGTGACAGGTCGAGTGGTAAAGTGGTTAAAGCTCTGTGTGTGATTGACCCCTGGGTCATGAGTTTGTTCCAAAACATAGCTGAGTTTACCCCAATATCATGGTAACATGTCTAATAGAGCCTTACTGCTAAACCTTTCATATAGATATCCCCTCGCCCCTTCATCCTCATCCGTACCTCTGTCCTCTACGTCACTTAAGCAGACACTTAAGCCACCACCCAGTCCTCGGGGTCAGGGGTCCCACATATCCCCGAGTAGAGGATGCGGTGGCCCTTAAACCACCAGAACATTCCTGTCCCGCTTTGGCATGCACGGGACACTTCCTCTCCTCACTTCCTCGTCCTCACACCCCTTCACACCCCACCCCCCTCACCCCCCCTCCGCTGTCCCACCTCAGCGCGCCTCAGTGCCAGTGCTATCGCTGGGACGTTCCCCGCCTCAGACTGCAGGACTCCCTGTTGGCTTCCTGCACAACCGCCTTCTATTATCAAACAGAAAAGACCAAACCCAAAGCAGCGCTCAGCTCACTGCACTGTGACCTCACTAATACGGGCTCATGATAAAAGTGTGTGTTAGTGTTTGGTCTTGAACACGTTTGAATGTGAGTATTAAGAAGTTAAGATCTTTGGGTGATAATATACTGCAACTATCTGAATAAATTAACAAAACTCAAGAGAAGCAAATGTGCAATAACTAATCATAGCAAGAGTGAAGTGAGAACCTATGACCTGTGCCCCACATAACATCTTTATATAGAAAAGTATTATGGCTTTGATAACAATCTGTCCAATCATTTCCAGATTATTATTTTAAATGAAATTTTAAAATGACAAATACTGCAGAATATTGTGCATATGTATGCGTGTATGTGAGGAATGCGAGCCTGTCATTGACAAAGACTAAATGGCTGTGCGTTTGGGGATGCAGAGGGAGAGTACAGATCCAGCAGATGGAGCAGGGGCTGAGAGCCATCTGTCCCACCAACAGCCCACTGGGCTGGGATCAGGACTGACACAAGGTTTGCATCAAATCAATATTCATATTCACCCTGTCTATAAAAGGGTAGGATATTGTTTGTAAAATAACTGAGCAGTGTGCTCAATGGGAGCAATGCTAAACTGTACATTACTTTTAGCGTAAGTATAAGGATCGATAAAAGATTTAATTTAACTTTTTCATTATTGTGACCTGAAAAAAAGAGCTCGATAATGCTCTTTTTTCAGCATTATTAATTGTGATTAATCTTGCAGGCCTTTTATGAGTTATATAAAGTTAAAGTCACTGCTTGGAGCTTGTTTCTAACCCACACATGTTCCCTAATTCTACACGTTATTTCAGAATGTTTCAGCTGCATCCCCTTCAATAATAAAGTTTGTGGAGCTGCTCTTGCTTTGGTGGTCCGTTGTCTGGGGGCGCTGCGTTGACTCACAGCCTCTTCCTCCCACTCTCCGCCCCGCTGTACCCCGGCGTGGGAGGCACCGCGGCCCAGCACTAGAGCCTCCGGGCTGGGCATACACACTCACACGTACACTCACACACACTAACACAAACCTACCCACACATGCATGCTGAATGCGGAGCACCTCTTTAATGATGTCATGTGTCTTACATCTGAGGAGCGCAGGCAAAGGGGAAACACGTGGGAGTGTGTGTGGGCTGTCCCGTGCAAGGAGTTACGTGTGCACTGGAAATTTCTGATATCAAAATGTTTTATGTACATGTACAGTAAGCTTGCTGCAGTGCATGCCTCTGACACAGGTCAGCTTAAAACAATCAAGTGGTTTTGTGCATGTAGAAGAACGACAACACATTAACTGGAAATAAGCACTGGATTACAATAGTAATAATACAACATCCGCCTTAACTAAAATCTAAAAAAACCTCCATGTTTGACCAAGGGCTCAAAACATAAAACTTAAAATGAGATTCTTACCAAGAGTGGAGTTCTTGAGTGACAGCGCCCTTGTTTATGTCCTCGCCGTTTCTCACCTGTAAAAAAACAGGTAGCAAAGGAGCGCGTCAGTCAAATCTGATCCACTTATTGAGCACCACTTAATGTTCACAGCATTGATTTTGGTTTGCACAATGTCACACATTGTACAATGTCTGTGCTGAGAAAAAAAAATCATAATATTCAGAAGGGCCAGATTGCTCATTAGAATATTTCACATTTGTGTGTGGGCGAGTGTTTAGCAGGGCCTCTCGCTGTCGTCCTCGCACTGTTCCAGAAACACCCTGCTGAGTCCAATACCAAGCGGGATCCTAACCCCAGTCTGTCCATTAAAAACACTGATCCAAAGATTCCACTTCTGCAGCATGAGCATGAGGCACTGCAGGACAGACTATTCAAGCCACGTCCTTTGACTTACAACACACAAAACGTGGACCTCCAGAAGAATGTGGGCCTGCAGTTGTCCATTCAAAACTATTGGGATGGAGGGTAAAAAATCCATCTCTCATTCGAAATAGTCGAACACTTGCAATTCAAATTGAAGCATCATTTGTAGTGTCAATAACCAACAATAAACACCACACCAACGTTCTCAGAAATTGGAACAATACATCATTAAGTAAAACATAAAGTTGAACTTGCTGTTATCTCATTAGTTCAGCTGCAAGTGGTGGAATATTGGCCTATGATTAAAAGCCATGGAAGTGCAATATTTAAACTTTAAATCACCTCATGTTCAATGGGGTTAAACGGCCTTTAAATGTGCAACACGTGTCGCAAGTGCCCCCTGTTGGATGACTTTGAAACTCTCCTGAATAAATGCTGCAAAAATTACATTATAAATGTATAAAGTATTCACTTTTGTCGGTTGAGGGTTCTTATTGCATGGGAAGAGCAGTGTTGAGTATCATGAGGTCATTCTTTGAGAGTCTGCATCTCTCACAAACTGCATCTCTCGGTCCTGCAGTCACGGGGTCTCCCCCGGGGTAAACGCATTCCAAATCACAAGAATTTCCTCCAGCTCCGCTCACATACCACATCTCTGCGTCGCTCCTTCTGCCTCTTTATGTCCCACACGCACGCGCACGGCACACAATGGCCAAAGATGAGACCACTGTTGCTATGGCACCGGGGGCGCGCACTGCCGCAGGACGCGCACATAAGAAACCCTCAACTTTAATCAAGAGTAAACTGTTTATGAAGAGAGCGACCTGTCCGCGGGCCTCAGGCGGCTGCTCCTCCGGCCGCTCCGAGGAAAACATGCCGAAAAACGTGTTTCATTTTGGGTTTAAATACGAGCTTTAACAATATGTTGCACCTTTAAGTTTAAAGGAATTATTGTGGTTTCATAAGTTTTATTTTGTATCATATTAGCATGTACACTTTTCAGTTTCGCCTGTGTAAATTGCAATTCATAGAATAGTTTAAAACAAACATCAACAAAATCATAATCATAATAATAATAGAATTTTTTACCAAAAGTTGGATTTTGTCTATCAAATGATACAAAGTATCTCAGAATGATAAAATGACATTCTCAGGTTATAGTATATACAAACATGTTGCAGCTCAGAATGATGAAATAACCTCGAGCGTGAGAATACACATTTACACATGTGTTGAATTGTTAATAAATGGCTGCACATCCGCCATGTGCTCTCACCTGAAGCCGAGTCTGAGCAGAAAATTAAGGTTTGTTCAGCGAGAGTCCGAGAGCGCTGCATCTGTCCAACAAACCACGGATCCAAAAGCCCTACGAGCCCGGAGGCTGCTGCTGCTTACTGCTGTTACTGCTGCTTACTGCTGTTACTGCTGCTTACTGCTGCTGCTGCTGTTACAGAGGAGCATCTCGTTCCTTTAGCACCAGAGCTCTGCGTCTGCTCACTGCGCGGAGGTATCATCGTTCTGCAGCGCGCACGGAAACGCACTGTCTCCGCTCTCTGCCGCTCACCGACTGACTCCAGCTACAACTTCCAGCTCACATCAAAGCGCCGCGCAGCCGTCATTTCTATTCTCCACACGTGAAAAGTGAAATCCCCCTCTGCCCCCTTCGCGCCAGGGACCGTCCCCGCAGTGCACCCTGGGCACCGCGTACTCACAGCAGCAGCTCCTGTGGTAAAGAGCTTACAGTCTACGGCAGAACTGAGGTGAAGCTGAAGACAAGTGTGCAACGTGTGTGCAACAAGTCACACATGAGCCTCAAACAGGTGAACACGGGGAATTCAACCCACAACCTTACAGAACACTGACTCTCCATGGAAATAACACAGTCTTGCCTCATTGGCTAAATACTACTGTAATATTCAACATATTCATTTACAGCTTCGACCTACTTACCCGTTAAAAAGCTGAATATGAAACGGTGCAAAAGTTAAAGTGCCACAATTTTCTACTTTTCACAAAGAAACTATTGGATATAATTGTGATAGGTCTATAATGAAGCTTGAAGACTTTGACTCACAGACGCCACTAAAACAATTAAAATAACTTTCAGTGGCGTAATTTATTCTCAACAAATCATTCATGCAAATGGAGTCATTCTTTCTTGCCTGAATAACGCTCAAGTAGCTTTTAAAACCAGAGGAAATGTCAAAAAGTGCCATTAGTCAAGACACTTTTCAGTTTCAGAAATTATCCAACAATGAGTCATTCCCGATGACATTTTTGAAAATACAGAAACACAGAACAAACAAACACTAGTCGATTCACAATTCAATTCACGATGTCTATATACGCGGACTTTCTGGCTCTGACTCCACAGTGGTGGGGCAGTACCTTTTCTGCATGTCCGAAAAAAAAATCCCTTCAAAAGTGATGTCACATGTCATACTGTTAATTGCTCACCTGCTCAACACCTCTGTCGCCTCCTTTTCACACCGCTCATCACTTTCACTTTGAGAGAGAGAGGAATCTGGGAAATCAACTTGCATTTTCTCTGTTTAATTTCGAAAAGAACTATCGAAAACCACACTCTGACAATAACACCTGCAGCAGCCCCGTGTCTATACACTCATATATATTGTGAAAATCCCTGAATAAATTACAGTGCCCACTCTTTCACTTCTTATCTGGTGTATAGAAGTACGGTTATGATCAGCTCTGTTTTACTGGTATCTGGGATGGGTATTTCTATACAACGTTAACTTCCCATAAAGTCGAACTAGATTTTAATCCAGAGCCTTTTAACCACCGTTCAGAAATGACAACAGAATAATGAAATTACTTTGCATGGCTAATCAGACAATGCCCTTGGCCTTTCCCAGCTCTATTATCATTACGTATTAGTTTTTTAAAATGCCCGTTTTGCTCTCATGCATTAAAACTAAGTGTGATGACATACTTCTGCTGCTCCCATATATCATTTATTCTTCATTTTATCTCTCTATAAGTGTTAAAGCTGAAGCCTATTGATTGCTTCTTCCAGCTCTGATGCCGTGTTGAGCCGTGGAGGCCGGACATCAGAGAGCTGGTGACCTGGACGCTGAACTGCTGTCCTCCTCTACATAAGCTTTTGACCACAATACAAACATCTGACGAAACCGCGGCCTATCGGACCAGACCGGCTTTGAAGTGAGGAGATAAAACTATTTGCTGGGGGGCATGTTTTTACGCAGCTCTGTTAGATAATGCATTGTTTAGTGATTGCCCCTAATTCTGAGCATAGTCACTGCCTTCAAATATGGACCATAGAGATGCAAATATCATGTCTATATATGCGTCCGAAGTAACACACAACTTTGCATATGAATTTACAGATCGTTTTAAGCACAACTGCTCCATCACCGCTTAATTTCTTCATGAAAAAAATCACAATACACACATACAGTCCACTACTTTAATTTGCGCCTAATCAAAGTCTCAATCCTGTGCCACCAATATATATATTTTTAGTATTAAATCAAAGAAAAATTGAGAAATTATATTCTTTTTAACAACTTTGAAGTTAGCCCTACTCAAGTCACACCTTCAAACCGTTTTAACAGATTCAGATGACAAAAAGTGCGTTGCGTTATTACATCTATAGGCTCACTTTTGCTGAAAATTATGAATGCAATGCTGTCTTTTTTTTACTAGCATGCCTTATCTAAGATCTTTTTAATGTATGTAAATAAGCTCGATAGTGATTTTTTTTGCCATGCCTGTGTAGTTTAAGCGCCACAATCATGCATGCGGCCTATTGTGCGTGCATGGGGCAATATAGAGGTGTATGTTGTGTGTATGTTTTCAGTGTCTCCTCCCTGGGAATTCCCCTCTGTTCCAGTCTCTAACAGCCTGTTGCAGCCGCAGCTGGAAGTGTGTGAGTGTCTGTGTGTGTGTGTGTGTCTGTCTGTGTGTGTGTGAATGCAGCGGATCTTTGCACAGTCCATGTACGGCGCCCCATATGTGTTTATGTATGTGAGTTTTTCCCCTTCTCCTCCTCTCTGCCTCTCATTCCCAGGGTCCTGCCAAGTTAAAGCCTCTTAAATGTCCCCCTGGCTTTTGTCCTCACGTTTCAGATGAATTTCCCTCGCATTCATCCCACCATTGAGCCGCTGTGTGTCGGAGCGCTCAGGAATGCACTGGGTTTGACAGGCGCCTCAACTCTGTGTGTGTGTTAGTGTGTGTGTGTGTGTGTGTGTGTGTGTGTGTGTGTGCGTGTGAGTGTGTGTGCGCATGGGGAGAAAGGGGAGCGCTTCACATCCTAAAGCATGCTATGGCAATGATGTTTTTGAGGCTTGTTGGTCTTGTCTTTGAGTGACTTTAGAGGCGCTACATGTTGATACAGGCCTTAACATCTGTTATGTTTCTTTATTTTCATCTTTTTGAAGCCAGCAGAGAAAACCCTAACCCTAACCCATAACAAAAAGTATATTGATTTGCATAGGAGAGCAGTTAACCCAAATGCTCGAAAGAATCTCTTTGCATTTTTTTTTCAGGCTTGAGACTTACCGCACGTTTGTTTTGTCTAATCTTGTCATAAATATTTGTTATCCATTCTTTGTGTCACTCCAAAACTTGGATAAACATGGTTAAAGGGGTCCTTGTTGTATAAGCAAATTATACTAAGTAATGCAAATAAAAAGATTATTTTTACTATAGGAAAGAAGTGATACTGAATGATACTTTAAACATGTTTCCTCATCAACACATTTTCTGATAATATTTTGTGCTTGCGTCCCTAGGATCATGTTATCGAATCAACTTGGACCCTCAAGACAACTGACCAGTATCATCCCAATATTCAACAAGATGAGATTTCATTTGTTGCACTTGAAAGAAAAAAGAAAAAAAAAAAATACGTTGGGTGAGTTTCTCCAGCTTTTTTCCCCTTTTGGACACAGAGGTGCTCAGTGGGAATCAGCAGCAACAATATCCTTACCTTTGCGCACACATACTTTTCACTCTCCCCGCACGCGCACACGCACACTCAACAGTTGCGCACAATCAGACACCCACACAAATGCACTCGGAGTCACATGTGCTCTCACTCAAAGAGCTCTGCACCCACTCACCCTGACACCCACACAGCCACCCACACACTCACGTGCACACGGCCAAATAGCTCCCTCTATCCCACCCTCCCTCCCCTCCGTGCTCCATCATGATCCGGTTTCCTCTTTGCTTTTGTGAGCGAAGCCGCCGCGATAAAATAAACACAAATACGTGATAATCGCATTCCAGACATTTCTCTCCTGCCGGTGGGAAGTTTCAACTGGTTTGGAGGCTGGAGTTGGGTTTGACACCATGCATAATTGCGTGTGAGGAGAAATTAAACAAAGAAAATATGTTTAAAAAAAGGAAATAAAAAAGAAAAACACTGAAAAAAATAAGCTGTAGGAACAAATACGTTGAAAATAGTTGTACGTTGCTCATTCCTCAGGTCTGGAGAGTGTATGGATAATATACAGTAAAATATCACAGCACGAAGCATTCGCAGACATTAAAGAGCACGTGCACAAGACATTCACAAACTCCATTTAGCACCTTGTGACAGCAATGCAACATTTTCTCCAAAGTATTTAAAGTGGCTGGACATGACATCAAAATGACAATAATGAAAAGTTGTGTAAATTAATATTCCCATTAAAACAGGCTGAAAAGTTTGTAGCAGCAGCAGCAGCAGCAGTTTGGGGGTCTTACCTGAGCACATGGGGCCACATGGCAGCACACTTCCTCAGTCAACACGCTTTGTCTCTCCTCCTCTCCCGTCCGCTTCCCCTCCATCTGTCTGTCTGTCCCCTTCACTCGTGTCTTCTTTCCTTTCCCTCCCTCTCTCTCTCTCTCTCTCTCTCTCTCCTCTCTCTCTCTCTTCCTCTCTCTCTCTCTCTTTCTCTTCAAGCTTCATTATTTTTCCTCCTCTGCAAACATTCAAAAGCAGTTTAGTGGCACCTCTCCGTCGTCGTCTTGTGCTCCTGTTCTCTGTAAAGTTGCTTGTGTCCTTATGATAGTGAGAGTGATCCATGAAGGCAGTCTTAACCAGTGTCCCTCCTCCTCCTCCCCCCGACTCTGTGTGTCCACAATGTTCATTCACTGCACGCTCACACATGCACACTAACACACACTAACTGCACACACACACACACACACACACACTAACGCACACGCTTGCAACACACATCGGTGGCGTGATGCATTTTCCTCCCTTTTTCTATAAGTGTTTTGTGTGTTTCTCTTAAATTTCTACTTAATTTCTACTGTTATAATATTGCAAGGTCGACATACAGTATATAGAATATTATAGATTGTGGTTATGGACAAACAAAGGGACAGGCACAAAAGCTGTCAAGGACACAGAAAAACTATTGGTCGTCAGTACAAAAGAAACAACCTCCGCATGTTCCCTTGCTATTAAAGGTGCACTTTTACACATTGTGCAACGAAATGCAGTATAGAACAAATACCCTCCATAGTTCCACTGCGCCCCTTTACACAGAGGAGAGCTGCATTTTTCTCGTCACAAAGAGAAACGAAACAAGACAGCATAAATATATATCCTTTGATAGCTGTATTGATTTACATTTGTTTTAGTGATAATATATGGCTCAAATGTATTTTAATATATAAACGATGCATCCAACACAAAACAACTTTTACAGTTAAAGTGTTAAAGTATTGAATCTGAATTCATTTTCGTCACAATAAAAACTACATCAGCTCATGTTCAACAAATGGAAGCCGGAACATTTGTGGGGGTTTAATAATTATTAATTGTGTCTTATTCACAAAAACCTTTTACTCTTCTTTTGTACGTTTATAGAAATGTTCAAACAAGAAAGAATTCTCACATTTGTATTACTTGCAAAGTAATCTTTTTTCAGGTGAAGTAACTGTTGAGTAATGAAGACAGGTCAACAGTGATCGCTCCTGTCACTCGGATTATTTTTGAGTCTTTCCAGATCGAACTAAAGAGGACAAAGCTCTTTATTTGATTTATATCCATCAGAACAGGGACATCATCACTGAGATATTAATGATATTAATGCATAAGATGTAGATACTAGTAACAATGTGGGTCAGAACAAATTTGTTCAGTTCTTCAGATAATAATGTTTGAGCAGTAGTTACAGATCCATAACGGGTCCATAGAAGACAGAAGGAACACATGTCAGATGAAACATAAGGTTTGGGCACGAGGCCTTCATCAGAGAGAAGGCATCAGTGCTTCTAACACACTCAGGTCCACCCTGCTACTGTCGAGTCAGAGAAAGACATATACTTCGTTGATCTCTTAAAATATTGTCCATGTTTTGGAAATTATGATTAGTATTTAAACAAATACTAAAGTAAGAAGGCATTTTATTCATTATTCATTCATTATATGGCACATTGCATTTGCAAGACACCTGTTTAATTAACAATCTACAGTAAAAGTCTGAAAAATACTGGAAGATATGGTTCCAAATGTATGTATTAATTATGTTTTGATTGGATGGTTGATAGATGCACTGATTATGACTTTCTTTTTGGCTTAAGATTCATGTTACATTAAAAGTCTTTCTAGAGAAGTTTCATGCAAAACTTTCACCATGAGTCCATACACTTCTTCAGATGACTTTCATGTTGCTGAGAACAAAGTGGGACAGCTGAGGCTGAAAATTTATGAACTGTTTTTGGGTCCTTAAGCAAGACACTTCACCCAAATGGCCTTGTATGAATCTAGTGCACGAGAGAATGGTTGTTGTCAATCAGAGAGACAGGGGGTGCCCTGTTGGCCACTATGTCTGGGTAAATTAATATCAAACTTTTGAACTATGACTTTGAAAAGTGCTGTTTATAAAGATTTGTTCCATAAATTGTGTGAGCATTTATTGGAGTGTGACACGCTGCAGAAGCGTCCTCTGGGCGTGCAGAGATCAGGGAAACACATACGCACGTGTGTTGACGTTGTAATCAGAAATTCCAGACGTGGTTTAGAGGGCAGCAGCACAAACACCTCTCAGCGCCTGCACAGGGCCATGTATACTCTTCATAATTTTGCCGTTGTCTTTTCCGTTTACCCTCCAAATATTATCCCATGTTCCAACAGCTTGGAAATGTTATGTCAGAGAAGCAAACGAATACCTCTACACACTGCTTCTTATGTCCAGAAACAAGCAGACAATCAGACGATTATTTGACACAAACTGCTAATGTTCACACTTTGAAGGTGAAGAAATCATCAATGTGACTGTGTAATGAAAGAGCATTAGGACAGTTCTCTTATATGTTGATAATGAAAGTATACTTTTCATTACATGTTATTTGAATAGCCCTAATTCACAACAGCAGTTGCCTTTGAGGACTTTACAAAATGGTCAATTTGCCAACAACATATTTGAGAATATATTTTGCTAAACATATTTTACGCATGGTGTCCCCAGAAGTCTCCCATCAGGCCCTGCCCCCGTGTACCTTCAGAGATCTGACGGGACCAGGCTTTGACAAGCAGGTGTAACCACTCTCTGGTATAGATTGAGTTGATAAGAGGAGATGCTGTTGTTTATGATAAAATATCCACAATTGTACATCGGTTAGGTGTAAGTTCGGTTATATAACCTCTCCATCAGGAGAAGGATCAGACGGGAGCTGATGAGTGTCCAAAAGCACAGGCAGGTTTTGAGTTCCCATTTACCTGGAGGCTCGCTGCCCACTGCTTCAGCCCACATCCTGCTTTAACAATCAGGTCGGCACTCTTCACAAGTGATTTCATGTTGTTTTGTGCTTTGTAGGAGCAAACTGACCACGGTGGATGGCCACGCTCTGCGGCGGAGCCAGCGGTGCGTCTGTGTGGACGTGGTGGGAGTGAGAAGGTGAAGGAGGAGCAGTCTGCGTGGGCTCAAAGCACAGATTCGGCTCTCTCTGTGCTGCGTGCTAATAGGGCTTTTTTCTGCCCCCAGCGGGACATGGAGAGCTGTCATTTACATGGAGGTAATGGAGTGATGGATAAGTGGATGAAACGTGTGTGGGCGATGTGATGGCCACCTCACACCTCTCTGTCTTCCTCACTCATTTTTCTGCCTTTTCTTTACAGCGGGTGCACTGTGCTACTTAGAGGGACATTAGTGCTGTGACGCTATGTATTTGAACTGAAATCAGCTCTTTGTACAGACTGAATAAAAAGGACACAACATTTACTTCAATACCATACAAAACTTTATTTCAAAGTAACTTTCAGAGTTCCAGTAACTTTCAATGAGCTTATTTATTATTTGTGAAAGTCATCTATTGAAGCGTGTTAGGTTTACATTGTATAACAGAAAACTGAAAAGTTCTATTTGCCACAATCTTCCATGCTCCATCAATGGCGTTTTCCGAATGAGGCATATCATTGTATATAGGCATATCCTATGTAGGCTTCAAACTAAATTTAAACAGCCATGCATAAGTCGCCATCATTCCCTGTTACAGTTATTATGTACTTTCTTCTTTTTATCCGAACATTGTGACACAGTAAATAAAATAATATCCCCCTGAAGTTCTGTTAGAAAGATTTCTTATGACTGGGTATTGTAAGTAAATAGAGTGGAGATTCTATCATGATATAATCTCCGTTAACAGTCCTGTGAGCTTGTTGTCTTCCTCGGCCGTGCCAGTGTGTCAGTGTCTAAGCTTGACTCCAGTCCAAACAAATGGGAGAATAGATTGACTCTGTGGGAGAGAGAAATAGCCCGTGTGGATATGAAGGCAGCCGTCCAGACAAGCTGCTAACACAAATTTTGGTGGTTTCATAAATGACAAATTTCTGTTAAAATGCTTTAATTGTTTTGGTGCCAGCTGCATCAGCGGTCACACTGACATTCAAGAATTTGATGGAAGAATTAATGCCTGTTCATGAGAAACACTTCATTTTAGAGTAAGACTGCACTTGTATTTTTAATAAAGTGGTTTCTGTTCTTAGTCAAATGGGAAGGGTTTCTGAAACACATCAAAGTACAAATTATTGTAAAGAATCTGCATTTCCAGAGATGATGGTATGTTTTTTTCCCCCTTCTGATCAGAGTGAAACAATATTTTATTCAGAGGAATCAGACATAGAGTTGAGTGCAACAGACAGAGAAAGCACTGGTGTTTTGAGTCGTGTTGAGTCGTAAAGGTCATGTTCAGGGATTCTACCAGGGAAAGTTCTGGATTTTTTCATGTGAATAATCAGCACTGTCCATTCTTTAAATGATTGAATTTGAAGCAGGCACACATTTGTGACTTTGTGAATGACACAAATCGGAAATCGAAAGGGAAGCAGGATTCACCGAAGACACCATTGGTTGAAGAAGTTGTTGAAGAAATAGAGAGATCAGATTGTTGCTGTGGTGAGTGATAAACACAGGACAAAAACAATAATGAATAATGATATATAAATACATCAGTACATTAAAATATGATAATTGCGAATGTATCTTGTCCATTGTAATGATGAAATAGTCAGTGTGATGTGGGGACTCAAAACAGTCATAACAGAGTTATGTATTTATGCATACATAACTGCGCACTGGGGCTTCCCCTCTGCTGAGGGCTGCTGCCTCTCACACTTCTCTGCATACTACATGGGTGAGCAAAAACCAAACAAATAAATCGAGAATATATGATAAAGATTATTAGGTTAATTGATAAAAATAGAATTATATATACAGTATATATATATATATATATATATATGAGTGTGAGTTTATTTAACATAGTTTTAGATTTAGAACGCTGAGTCCCTCCGTGTTGCCATAGTAAACTCTGAGTGACAGCTGCATCTTGGATCTGTAATTATACAACCATATTAGTTTTTTCACAAACATTTGATAGAGGCAGTTGCCTATGGTTACCACAGTTGTCACTCATTGCGTAGCATAACAGACAGACCTGCCCTGTAAAAAATATACTTTAAAAAAAAAAAACATATAAAAAATATACTTTTTTAAAAACTTTAAAACGCAACTATTAGACAATGTTTAAACTTTTTTTATTCTTTTTTTCTGTAGGGGATTGGATTAATACAATCCCCTTTCAAACCAAGTGAATGCACAGTGAATAACTACAGCTTCAACGATTGGGCTGTGGCCTTCATATAGTTATGGCTCATGCAGCCTTTCAGATATGTGGCTGCTGTAGAAGTCTGGAGCACAACGCAGGCTCACGTCGCTATTTGTCGGAAAAGCGTGTGAAAAAACTACAAAGTGTGTTCAACACGTGCAATAAAATAATTGACACCATTCAAATATATATATAAAAATTGTCCACTCACCTTTGGCCCTCCGCGGGCGGTTATCCCTCTCTAAGCTCGGGTCCTCTACCAGAGGCCTGGGAGCTTGAGGGTTCTGCGCAGTATCTTTGCTGTTCCTAGCACTGCACATTTCTGGACCGAGATGTCCGAGGTTGTTCCAGGGATCCGCTGTAGCCACTCTTCTAGCTTCGGGGTCACTGCCCCGAGTGCACCGATCACCACGGGCACTACTGTCACCTTTACCCTCCAGGCCCTCTCCAGCTCCTCTCTGAGACCTTGGTATTCTCAAGCTTTTCGTGTTCCTTTTTCCGGATGTTACCATCGCTTGGAATTGCCACGTCCACCACCACGGCTGTCCTCTGCCCTTTGTCTACCACCACAATGTCAGGTTGGTTCGCCATTACCATTCAGTCGGTCTGTATCTGGAAGTCCCACAGGATCTTCGCACGCTCATTCTCCACCACCTTTGGAGGAGTTTCCCACTTAGACCTTGGAGTTTCCAGCCCATACTCTGCACAGATGTTTCTGTACACTATGCCAGCCACTTGGTTATGGCGTTCCATGTAGGCCTTCCCTGCCAGCATCTTGCACCCTGCAGTTATGCGTTGGATCGTCTCAGGTGCCTGTTTGCACAACCGACACTTTGGGTCTTGTCTGGTGTGGTATATCTGGGCCTCTATTGCTCTGGTGCTCAGGGCCTGCTCCTGTGCAGCCATGATGAGTGCCTCTGTGCTGTCCTGTAGGCCAGCCCTTTCTAGCCATTGGTAGGACTTCTTGAGATTAGCCACTTGTGCTCTGTTCCAGTGGTACATGCCGTGTAGGGGCTTGTTCTCCCATGATGGGCTCTCCTCCAGCACCTCCTCATCTCGCCACTGCCTGAGACATTCACTGAGTATGTCATCCGTTTTGGCCTTCTCCATGATGTAGTTATGGAGTTTGGATGTTTCGTCCTGGACAGTGGCTCTCACACTCACTAGTCCGCGGCTTCTTTCTTTACGGCTTACGTACAGTCTCAAGGTGCTGGATTTGTGATGGAACCCGCCATGCATATATATATATATATATATATATATATATATATATATATATATATATATATATATATATATATATATATATATATATATATATATATATATATACAGGTATCTCGGTATACCACAGGCAAATGGCAACCTCGAACAGGCAACTGCAGAGTAGGACAAGTACAAAGAAGCTGGTGGCCAGGTGGCCAAAGGAACCACCTGGCCACTGTCCAGGACAAAACATCCAAACTCCATAACTCCATACCTACATTGTGGAGAAGGCCATAACAGATAACGTTCTCAGTGAGTCTTAGACAGTGGCAAGATAGAGGTGCAATAGGAAGGCCCGTCATGGGAGGACAAGCCCCTGCACGGCATGTACCACCGGAGCATAGCAGAAGTAGCTGATCTCAAGCAATTGCAACAACATACTGTATCATCAGTAGGGTAAAACTAACCTGTCTCATGACGGTCTAAACCCAGCTCACGTTCCCTATTAGTGGGTGAACAATCCAACGCTTGGTGAATTCTGCTTCACAATGATAAGAAGAGCAAACAGCACAAAGGCATTCATCATGAATGCACAGGAGCAGGCCCTGAGCACCAGAGCGATAGAGGCCCAGATTTACCACAACAGACAAGACCCAAGGTGTCGGTTGGGCAAAGAGGCACCTGAGACGATCCAACACATGTAACTGCAGGGTGCAAGATGCTGGCAGGAAAGGCCTACATGGAACGCCATAACCAAGTGGCTGGCATAGTGTACAGAAACATCTGTGCAGAGTATGGGCTGGAAACCCCAAGGTCTAAGTGGGAAACTCCTCCAAAGAAGGTGGTAATGATGGTAATAATGAACCAACCTGACATCGTGGTGGTGGACAAAGGGCAGAAAACAGCCGTGGTGGTGGACAAGGCAATTCCAAGCGATGGTAACATCAGGAAAAAAGAACACGAAAAGCTTAGGAAATACCAAGGGCTCAGAGAGGAGCTGGAGAGGGCCTGGAGGGTAAAGGTGGCAGTAGTGCCCGTGGTGATCGGTGCACTCAGGGGAGTGACCCCGAAGCTGGAGGAGTGGTTACAGTGGATCGCTGGAACAACCTTGGAAATCTCGGAGGAACAACAAGGATACTGCGCCGAACCCTCAAGCTCCCAGGCTTCTGACCCGAGCTAAGAGAGGGCTAACCGCCAGCGAAGGGTGAATGTAGCAAATATAATTATTGTATATATCATATTCATTTTTTTTGAATATGTATATATCATATTGAATTTTTTTTTTTAATACAGCATACATATTTTGAAAAAAATCAAATTAAATGGTTCAAAAAATGTTAAAAAAGGCTTACATTGTGCTGTTTTGTCACTGTTTGTGGGATATTTTTAAGTTTTGTTTCCAAAGTTTAATCTGAATCTGCACAGATTTTAGGTTTAGAGGTTGTGTGCTGTGTTCTGGAGTGGTATTGTCCCTGTGAACTGCCTGCATTATAATTTAGTAGTTAAACCTTCACTGCGTTGATGGGAACAGTACTAGAGAAAAGTCAATGGGATGTTCCTCCACTTTTAGAAACAGACCAAGAGATGCTTCACAAACCTACCTGACATTTGGACTAGAGGAGCGCTGAGTGTTTCCAAAAAGCCTTGAACATAAAAATGGTGGTTAACTGTATGCATGCGAACAATAGCTCAAACAGTATTTG